AAACAAATCATAAGATGATAAAGTGTAATTAAGTTATTGGAGCAGTTGAGGTTTTCGCTAATTCGCAACTTTACAATAGCTAAAATATGATGTAATAAATGGAAATTGTAAATAATTTGACTAAGATTACATGTAATTTAGACAAGAACGGGTAGAGAATGGCGCGGGTCAGGGCAGATCACGTCGATGAGAATAACCATACACCCTGCCCCGCCTACGAGACGGGTCGGACCCATCCCGAAACAGGTTAAATAGGTCGGTAAAATGGATCATGTCGAAATTGGGTCCCTAGATGCAAGTAAGCCATTATAATATGTAGTTATAAAAAATTGTATTAAAATTCTCGATGATTCCTCATCACTTAGCAGGCAGGGGAGGAGGGTGGTTTAGCAACTACCTAGTACTTGGTTGATTTGAACCTCAAACCATCAGACCAAGTGCTTGAGGACAAAGTTGAGTATTTCAAACTCACCATCCTAAGCATAATCAATTAGGAGGAAAAAATCCAAAACTATCACTGTTTAATTTTTTTTTTACGAAAGTATTATCTATTCCTAAGAATTTCCAAAAATACCACCATTTATTAAAAACCGCACCTATAAGAGGCGGTAAATATATAACAAACAATATTAATTAAATAAAAAATAAACAAAAAATTTACACGGAAGATAAATTATGATTTATACGTATATAAATCTATTATAACAAAAAATATTAATTAAATCAAGGTTGTTTTAGAGAAATATACATTATCTAATAAACATTAATTTTAACATAACTAAAATCATTTTTGAAATTTAATTACAATTATTTTTTGTACATACACATAAATCAAATATATTATTTTGTTAATTGTATTGATTGTTTTCAATAATTTAAAGCAATACAAGTACACTCGTATGACTCTTAAGAGAGCTATACATCTCCTTAGAAACACAGTCTTTTTGACAGAACAAGGGGGATCCGAGGATCGCTTAGAACCCGATTTTCCCAGGTCATGGGGGGATCATGATGATCGCTTAAAACCCCATTTCCTTACACACGCATTTCTTTATAAAGAGTCTCAATAAGTGTTGTATTGTATTGATTTAAATTATTGAAAATAATCAATACGATTAACAATTAAGTAAATTATTGTACAAACAAATAAATTACGTTAACAAAATAAAAATTACAAGTGATGATAAATAATATGTACCTTGTGGTCGTTCCAAACGTCTCTTGAACGATGATTGGCTTGATCGTATAAAATAGTCAGATCAATCGGTCCTTGATCAACATAATATCGTTGATTGTATATATCAACATCCGGCCCAACCTATGATAGCATAACAACAACATAAATCAATTAGTATATAAATTAAATAAATCATTATAACAACAACAAAAATTGGGTAAAATGAGTACGTACCGCTTGATAATCATCATAGTAAATACCCTCTTCTTGGATAAAATCGGCCATTTTTCAGAATCCGGACAGAGATTCTATCATTTTTTAGGGAAAATAAAAGAAAAAGTTTTTTGAAATCAGATCGGACTTAGCCGCAACCAACAAAACAACTACTTGTAAGGTTTTTGGGTGGGGAGGGGATGAGTAGAGTGAGGAACTTAGAGAGAGAGAGAGAGAGAGAGAGAGAGAGAGAGAGGAGAATGGGGGGTTTGGTGTGCATAAAATGGGAGGAGGGGGGGTTTATATAGGGACGAAACCGCGTGCTGGAAGGGCGGTTTAGTCTTTTTACCCCACGTAAAACCGCGCCTCCAGCACGCGGTTTACGTTCCCAACGCGCAAACCGCGCTTCGGGCAACGGTTTGCCTGAGCCGAAGCGGATCGCTGCGCTGGCAGGCGGTTTGGCCGTGAGATCGCCTGCCCATCACGCAGTTGCATGGGCCGCCACGTGGCAACGCGTTTTGACAGCTACGAAGGGTCAAACCTCCCCTTGCCCGCGGGGTTTGACTGTTAACCGCGCCTCTAAGGTGTGTTTTGACTGAGAATCGCGCCTTCGACGCGCGTTTTGTGAAGAAGGGTGGTGTTTTTGGAAATACTTGAGAATGGGTGGTATTTTTGTAATTTTTTTTTAACAATGGTAGTTTTGGATTTTTTCCCTATTCGGATTGCGAACAAAATACATTCATAATCTCCATTGGAACCTTTACTCCCTGTTACCCTAATCATAGAATTAATTTCACATATTGGAGTACAACCCCACCACTTCTAAATCACAAAGAGCTACAGCTTAACCCATAATCTCCATTAGAACCTTTACTCCCTGTTACCCTAATCATAGAATTAATTTCACATATTGGAGTACAGCCCCACCACTTCTAAATCACAAAGGGCTACAAATTAACCCATAATCTCCATTAGAACCTTTACTCCATCATCTCCTTTCTGGCGGCGCCTGCTCCCGCATCTCCTCGCCGGCGGCAGTTGGAGTAGAGAGAATCCTGTTGCCAGGCAGCCAGACGACCAGCTTCCAGACACCGTACGATTCTCCCCTCGATCACATAGGAGATGTAGGGGTGTTCATTCGGGTTCGGTTTTTTGGGTTTACCCAAAACCGACCAGATTATATACATTTTCGATTTTTTGGGTTCGGGTTTCGAATTTTTTGGTTTCGGGTTTGGTTCAGCTTATTGGTTTTTTGGGTTCCGACTAAAAACCTCCAATGAATAGACTCAGCCCATATTCTTAGGCGTTTGGGTTTTCGGGTTTTGGTTTTGCTTTAACCGAACCCAAACCCGAATTTTTGGGTTTCGGGTAACAAAAACCCGCAAGTCCTGTTCGTGTTCAGTTTTCAGTGATTTTCGGTTTTGGGTTTTCGAGTTTCGGTTGGTAACCGAACCCGACCCTAACTGACACCCCTAAGCAGGTGGCAGCTTCCCCGACTTCTCCACGCGACGTTCGGACGACACCATCCGGCTTCTCACGCAAGTTTTGGCGCCAGCTTTCCGGTCGATCCATCCTCGGATGCCACACCTTGACTCATTTTCTCCCGTCGACGCCAGCTTCCCCATCATTCCGTCGACGCTAGCTTCCCCATCATTCCGTCGATGACAATTTTGCAGAAAGTTACAACTACTGTTTGTGGAATCGATGACAATTTTTTCGGAGCCGCTGCTGTGCGTTCGCGTGGGGAAAAGGTCGATTCGCCTCTGCTGAAGGCTGTTTCAGGCTATGTCGAAGGCAAGCTATCGGCATTAAAGGTCAGCTTTCTCTGGTTCAGGGACTCGGTGTTGTGCCTTCGCGGGGTGTGCAGGGGGTGGGGGAATTAGCAGGGGCAAGGAGATACATGTTTTGTTTTTTTTAATTAATTGATTTTTTTTTGTTTTTTCTAATTAATTGATCATGGACATAACGAATAAAATAATTAAAACTGAAATTAATAGTAAGCGAAGGAAAATTTGGTCATTTTGTAATCTATTTAACGGTCACTTAATGGGAAATTAGATGTAAGGGTAAACTTGTTACAATTTGATTAGAGGGTATGTTTGTGCAAAATTTTATTAGAGGGGTACGTTCAGTGGCGTAGCCAGAATTTCTCTTAGAGTGGGTCCGATACAATAACAAAAATGTATAACATAAAATTTATTAATGTTTACAATGACCCACGATGTGTTTTCATAATCCGAATACTCTAAAATACATTTTCTCATCCAAACTATCTAAAATGTCACTCTCGATATATTATACCATAAAACCATTCAACACTTCATCACTCATTCGACTCCGCAGGCTGTTCTTCACATAGTTCATTGTAGGAATTACTCTTTCAACACTTGTTTTGATGATTGGTATCAACAACGCCAATTGCACAAGCCGATACACCAATGTAACTAGTCAGAACTTCTTCAACACAACTCCCTAGAATGTGCACAAATTACCTTTAATTCAGTGAATTTCGTATTTATCTTCACATAAAAAAATATAACTATCTAGTTGAGTATCAAGATGTAAAATATTATCTTTAGAGAATTTCTTAAAATAAAAAGGTAGCAAACTTTATAATTTGTTGTTGTCAAAGTCAACAAACCCATACTCCAAATTTAAGTAGCGCCACAATGTAGCAATTTGGTGTTTATCTCATCAAGTAAGCAAAGATTTAAACTCCATTATTCTAATTTAACTATATAAGATCATTGAAACAATGTGTTGTTCGTTGGTTAACAAGTTAGCTAATCATTAGAGGTGGCAATTGGATCGGATTGGTGGATTCGTGGATTGGATTGGTAGATCCATGGATCAAATAGATTGGATCCAATGGATTGATGGATTCATGGATTGGATAAAATGGATTGGTGGATTGATCCATGAATCCAAATAACATCCAAGGCTTGTACCAAAATGTAAATTTTGAAAAGTAGTTACTAAAATGTTACGATGAAAAATTTTAGGTACCAAAATGTAATTTTCCAATGTTATTTTCATATAAAAATATAAATTTTTAGGTACCAAAATGTAAAGTATAAAAAATATAAATACCAAATCGTAATGCCATTTGGATCCATGGATTGATCCATGAATCCACCAATCCAATTGGATTTGAATAAAATGGATTGGATTAGGTAGATAATTTGGTCGATGAATTGAATTGGATTCATGGATTTGGATCCTAATTACCACCTCTACTAATCATCATTGAAGTTAAAGGTTCAGATTTCATTCTCAATGGGAAGCATATATATGGGTAATCTTCTGTGGCCAAAGGTGGTGCAAGGGACCCACCCTTCTCCATGCTGCCTCCGCTTCTGGGTGCCAAAATAGAAGGGTAGAAAATGCTATCAACCTATTTTAAAATCATATTGAAGATAAATCATATTGAAGATCAAATGAGTGATTAACATACAAGTATAATAGAGTTACAAGAACAAAACTATTAAAAGAATTATCGTAAAATCATGTCAATTTCATCATTGACACATGGTATCACAAACACTGACAAATACTTCCAAGCACACATACAAATCATCCAGAAATCATCTAGCCAACTTCCAAACTTCAAAATAACAGAAATCGCAATTTATGACAACCTTCTGGCTACCATTAACTTGAAAGCTATATATATTGCATCATGGAACCAGAAGACCCCATGGTAAAAATAACAAAGTTCTGATTCTGAAGAAGGGGAAAAAAAAAAAGAACGAACAAATTCTACTTTCCCTAACCATCCATCCAAAGATCTTTCTTTTCTTCGAAAAAAAGACACTTATGACCCTAAAGTAAAGTTACCTAATTGTTTCGTTTCCACGAAGCGAGAGGGAAAAAATTTACTTAGGAAGCAAAAGTATAAAACTTTGTGGTGCAGTTCGTATGGTCAGATCAGAAGGAAACTATGTGAGCTGTGAAAAATGGTTTGGAAGAGGAACTTAAACAAGGAAGAATGCGGTATCATGCAGCGGTCTGGGCATGCATGGCATCCAGTAGGCATTCCACGGCGCCATTGTAGTTCAAGAACCCCATAAACCAAAATTCATGATTATCCACCGAGATCACCTGCACATATTTCTCTGCTGCATTTGTTCTGCTTGTCGAAGGGTTGACTGCCTTAAGCTGATGCAATGGGATGACCACCTGTTTAAGGAACCCAATAATAGCAACGTCTTAAAGTATGCCAGTAGGAGCCACACGGAAAAAAATCCTTCAAACTCCTTCTAGGCGTCTCTAATCAAAGCTATCTATTACAGAGAAGGCCTACTGGTAAACTGCATACAGAACAGCGGTGAATTGAGTAGCCGGGTATCGCAAAACAAGTTGCAGTACTCCGAATATCACTCGACATAGAATATACTGGTCACTCGAACAAACCCCACTGCAGAAGCAAGAAAGATATTGATGCACAAAACTGCTGGTGTTCAAAATGGTGGTTAGTGGTAAAGACCAGTGTATTTCGCCTAGGAAGAAGACATGGTTCCAAAGGAGAACAGAACTAGATGCAAGTTTTTTTGTTTACCAAAAATTAGATACAGGTTGCTTGCACATTACTGAATGACATAAGAAATCACACTCCATATGAATAGATTGCTCCTCTAACATAAATAAAACATTCCTTGTCAAGTCAACTTGCATAGTCCAAATAAAGATCTAAGGGGACTCTGGAGAATAACTAGGCTAGCATGCTTCTTAGAGAGGTCCTCATTTTCAATGGTGTAGAGTTATTCAGGTGACAAGCAAAACAGAGTTCAAGCAGGAAAGAGTTGATCTTGTCGATTTGGTTGAAATGTCCTAGACACATCAAGTGCTGATATCCAACACCACTATTACAAGTCAATGTCATCTAGGGAGAATTTGAACTCACTTCATTAAACATCTCTCTTCTCTCACTGTATGTGTTATACATTTTAACAGTTCTGCAACTTCAGTGCTGAATAAGTAATAACTACTTTAATCCTGCCCCCCAATGAAACCAATGATCTTATGATGGCAATCAAAATCAGAGGCAAGAATCATAATGATCAACACTCTTCCAGTAGTGCAAGGAGACCAGAAATGACAAAGAAAATGATGGGACAGGATGAAGTGACATTTCTTTCTAACAGTTGGGGATTATCCACGCAACAGAAAGACAATCATTTCCAAAGAAGTTCAGAATTCGACTCGGTGGAAACTAGGACCTAAAAATTGAAACTCATAATGCAAATTAACAAGGCCAGAGAAAATAAGTACCTTATAGTAGCTCCATTCAGTTTTCCCATCTGCTTTATAAGAAAGAGGGCTGTCACTGGAGTATGCCAGCTTTGCTGTGGAGACATATAACACTCCCATAACTGGACCAGCTGATGTTGAGAGGTAACAAGCGAAAGAATTTTGAAGCACCTCGTCAGGAACAGTTTCAAATGTTTGCCTGAAGATATTCTCATAACCTCCTTCTGCTAAGACCTTTGTTCCTTGGGCAAGCCTTCCTAGTGCAGCATCAGCAAAACTAGGGGACGTTTTCACTGATTTGGCACAAGATACATAAGATGAAAACCTTCAAACAAGAATATAATATAGAAGTACGGGGAGAAAGCCAGAAGCTTCATTGGAAGAGTGTAATCAATCTATGAACTTCAGCAGTAAGCTGTTTAAGGACTGAAAAGACGTTGCGCGATTAAGAAATTCACGGAGAGAGTTTAAGGGGGAAATGAATGAATGCAAGTTCTCTTCTTAAGATTTGAATTAAGATCTTGGAAGTAATCAGGATAAGCAAGCTGATATAGGCTGTGGCATGCAAACGGGCCTCAGTATACAAAGAATTCATGAAAGCGACATACTGTGCACTTGATCTGAAGGACGAAGTATAAAGTCCAGATCAGGTTGGCTTATTGTTTACAGCATTAAAAGAAAGAACAGCAATTCTACTGCTATCCAGGAACCACTTCGAGCATTACTTTTACAAACTAGTTATCCACATTGCATCAGCCCGGCAATAGAGAAATTGTTAATACAAGACCAACGCATCAAAAACTTCATTTTCAGCAAGTGTTCATTGACAATAAATTTCATCAGCTATTAAGTAGAGAATTCATGAACTACCCCAGTACTTTCTGTACACTTCGACCACAAACTAATATCAATGGTGAATAGGGTAGTTCCAAATTGAAATCACAACATTATATTCTTTCCACTTTGAGTTGGGTGCCTAAGTTCTTCGGACAATCAATTCCGAAGACATATATAGACTGCTAAAGGATGCAACGTTACATGAGACTCTTGAACGTCAAACAATACTAAAGGGAGGACTACAGCAAAAACAGAACCAAGCATCAACATAACTAGACAAAGTTCAAGTCAAATTTTCCGATTCAATTTACATCTGATTCGATGAAGAGAGAGCTTCAGATTATCCTCTTAATCCCAGAAGACTGAGCAGCTCAATAGGAATGAATCACAAGCAAAGATCAATGTCACCACGAAATGAAAGAAGGCACTCACAGTGTTGCCATGTGTTGCCGGCAAGGGTCTCAGCTTTCTTGGTGGCTTCCCCAACTCTTCTTCCAAACCTCCCCAGGAATTCCCGCACATTTCCTACCTTCTCTGAAACAAAGCAGATACAAAAAAGAGTCCTTCAGACATGAGAGTTCATTGCAAAAAGAACAGAGACGACGCGAATTTTGCTTGCCTTTGAAGGAGACGGTAGTAGAGGATCCAGCTGGAGACGACGATATGTAAGGGTTAGATCCGTCAAGGTAAACGGTGTTACCATCGCCACCGTTTGAAGCTCCAGAATCTGTCACCAAGTCAGGACTCCAATGAACAGATTTCCTCCCCGATCCACCTCTGAAAGACGCTTGCAATTGTTCAAGATGAGCTTCCTCGGAAGACTGCAGATTCTCCGATCCCAGCTTTGCACCGCCATTTTTGTTGGTCGAGTCTCCATTCGGCTCGTTACGAGAATTCTCCCCCATTTTGGAGTCGGCATTGAGGCTTGAATTGGGAAGCGACAACGAATCAGTTTTCTTTTGGTCCGCCTCTGTCGTCTTCGGCAATCGCTGGTCCATCTTACGCAAGACGGAGCAGTTCGCGATCACGGTGGCGCGTGCGACTGTAAGGGATCTTCTGTTTTCTTCTTGCTCGTTGAAAGTTCGTCTGTTTCTATTTCGTAAATTCTCTTTCCACTTTCCAGGCCAGTTAGACACAAGCTTTGAAATGACGAGGGTAAAAGGGGAGTAAATTTGTTACCGGGGATATTTCGGTCTTTCGACCTGCTCAATCGGAGTTTGAAAAGCCCGAACAATCCTACAATTAGGAGTGAATACAAAAACAAATCAAAACCGATCCACCAATCTATAGGGCTGGCAAATGGGACGGGATATCGGTCTCGTTTAAAATGAGTATCCAGTCCTATTAGTATTTGGAGAGCGATCTTTATTCCATGTCCCAAACCCGTACGGGTTAACGGGTACCTATTACCCATACGGGACAGATAACGGATACCCATAAATATCCGTTGCTATGACTTATTTTTTCATTTTGGATTTTCGATGTTTGTTCTGTCATTCATTATCCAATGCAGCTAGCTACATGGTTCACTAACCTGGAAGGTTCGGAAGATGAAGAGTCGACAATAGAGAGGGACCAACCCATTATGCAATGCAGCTGCATGGTTCACTACCCATAATTCCTTTTCGATGCAAAACATGAAATGAACTCCCGATATATTCAAACATATACCCTCTTTCCATTTCTACCTCTATCAAATTTGGTTGAATATTTATGGCTCTGTTTATCATTCAATCTGTTTGTTTTTAGAACATGTTGTTGGGTTAAAGCTTGAGAGTTACTAATCGTCGCCCTAAAAATTTGAATTTATCACCCTAACCTCGCGCCAAATTACTCTACTACCCCTAACTTCTTCTTTAGCGCTCTAACCTAATCGTCGCACCTCGGCAAATCTGCCGATCAAGTACGATTGATGAGGAAGGAGGATGAAGAAGAAGAATTCAGCGCCGTCCGATGCAAATCCATTGCCGTCCAGCTCTCGACCACTGGCGTGGCGGGTTCCCTGCTCGCTTCCACCATTCACTAGGGGTATTCCCTACCCGACTGTCCTGCTCGTCAGACGGGTGGAAATCCCGTCGCCGGCAGTATCGGGACAGGTCGCATACCCATCTGGCCATCTCGCCACCGCCGGCGACGGGATATCAACCCGCCCGACGAACAACACCCTGAAAAAAAAAAGCTCAGGAAGATTCCAGCCTTCTTCCTCCTTCCTCCTCAACGGCGATGAACATCCTCTACAGCAGCAGAGGTTGGCGGCAATGGGAGGATCAGAATTCCGAACCGTTTGGGAGCATGTGGGCGTCTGCGGCTGTGGGCGATGGTGACATTGGGCGGGGTAAAACCAGAGATGGCGGCGGCAACAGTTGGTGGGGCAGAACGAGAGGTGGCGGCGGCGTGAGCATCTACATCTTTTTCGTCCTCAGAGGTGGCCGGCGGGGGCGGATTAGGGCGAAGTTGGTTAGGGATTAGGATTAAATTGGGGGCAAAATAGTCTCTTTAGACGAGTTTAGGGCAAAAAATTTAAAAAGCTAGGGCGTTAAATAGGAATTCAGTAAAGCGTACCCGTCCAATTACATTTGAGACGACTGCTCCAGGCTCTAATTAGTACTGCTACTTGCTCTATACACACAAGTAAGTTGCCAATCCTTTTGGACTAATGGGTATAACGGGTACCCGTAATATACAAACAGGTATTAACGGGTAACCCACGGGTACCTAAAGTAGCGATTCTTAATCTCAAATCCCATCTCGTAAAAAAATTTACGGGTATTTGGGTACCCTTAAACCTAAAAAAATGGGACGGGTACAGATATACCCAAATACTCGTTTTCCATTGCCCACCTTTACCAATCTAACCCAAATCGACCCATTAGTAAATAGCTACTTTTATGGGTGGGTGTGCTTTTAAATTTTTTAAAACCTTAGTCTTATAGTTGGGTTTGAGTTTGGATGGTTATAATCCTAGATTATCCAAACCGACCCTAGTACTATATTATATATTTAATATATATTCATTCCCCATAAATTTCTTTCTTTAATTATTATTCATGTCATTTGTTGACATAGTTTAGTGTTGATAAACTGAAACTCAATTATTGGGTGAATTTCACGTTTGGTCGCTCAGATTACATATTTGTTTCACCTTTGCCATCCGAATTTTTTTCTTTCTTAATCGTCACCTACATTACACTTTAATTTCACTGGTGGTCACTAGTCATTTAAGTCCGTCCAACTCCATTAATGTCGGCCATTTTTATGACGTGCCCGACGAAAGTGTCAAGTTGGCCGTCAAAAAAGCTGAGTCAGCTTAATTAAAAAAAATACTTTGAGAACTGACCCAACTCGACCCGACCCGTAAACCCAACCCGACAAGTCTATTAACATTCTAGTAAAAAATGGAAAAGGAAAGACAAAGGTTGTTCTTCGTATTCTCTATCTCGTTCTCGTTTCAACGAGAAGGGAAAATTCTTCTTCTTCTTCTTCTTCTTCTTCTTCTTCTTCTTCTTCTTCTTCTTCTTCTTCTTCTTCTTCTTCTTCTTCTTCTTCTTCTTCTTCTTCTTCTTCTTCTTCTTCTTCTTCTTCTTCTTCTTCTTCTTCTTCTTCTTCTTCTTCTTCTTCTTCTGTAAATCTTTATGGTTTAGGTGACCCAACCATCATCTCATCTATTCTTGCTTCTATAAATCTTTATGGTTTAGGTGACCCAACCATCATCTCATCTATTCTTGCTTTTGTTCCTTCTTCTTCTCCTTCGTTTAGTCACTCCACCATCATCTCGACCCTCTCCAATTCATGAATCTCGACATGCAAAACCCTAAATCCCCAAATTGAAGTATCCAACCGTGATTTCTTGCTTTGCTCTTCTCTCTAAGGGCCGGCATTGAAGAAAGGAGAAGTAGTAAGGTAATTCCTTGTCGTATTGGAGCTTTTATTGATTTCATTGTGGGTGTTCCTATATACACGACAAAAGGGGAAAGACTCCGCTTTTTTTACGACCAACTTGGCACTTCGTCGGCTACGTCATCGAAAAACGGATGACTTTAACGAAGTCGCACAGACTTATACGGCGAGTCACCACCAATGAAATAAAAGTGTAATATAGGTGACGATTAAGAAAGGAAAAATTTTCCGGTGGCAAAGGTGAAACAAATATGTAATCTGAGTGACCAAACTTAAAATTCACCCATAGTATTTTTTTAGCATATACGCTTATCTCCGCATGCTCTCTTTATATTTTAATTTTTGCGTTTACTACAATGTACTAATTGGCAAAGGTGAAACAAATATGTAATCTGAGTGACCAAACTTAAAATTCACCCATAGTATTTTTTTAGCATATGCGCTTATCTCTGCATCGTCTCTTTATATTTTAATTTTGGCCTTTACTACAATGTACTAATTAGTAGAATATTTTTAATTATTATATTTTTCTAGTATGAATGGAATATATATTACAATATCTTACTTGTTATTTTAGTTTCATAGAGTGTAGCACCCGACTACTAACCTAAAATTCTGACTCATAAATACAAAAAACCGACTTTTGAAAAATTTCAACCTTGAAATTTTCAAACATCTTAATGTACAAACCACAGTTCCAAAACACGACTCATGTCTTTATGACATTAGAGAAGTTCATCTTTCTCCAAATTCTCAAAAACTTATTCATGCTGGAATTCAAGTCCATTACACACCTCATCGATGAAATCTCGCCCAAACTTATCCTTTGGCCTTTAGTTGGTAATATCTCAATCTGATAATTTTTTTTGATGGGAGTGAGACATCACCTCAATGAGCAATTCTAATCTAGTCCCATAATTAATATAAACATAGTATTAGTCAATGACTACTATTATCTCACATTCCATTCAACTATTCCAATCTAAACCACAATCATTAATTATTGTCCAAGTACGTCACACATTATCTCTCATAGTATAACTACATACAAAAACAACCATTGTCAATGATAACAACATTGCAAATCACGTTATCACATTCTCGCTTACATCATACATCCATATAAAATATCCATCACTCAAATGCGCACGAATATAGCAAGCACAAGGATTCATCACATATTCCGGTCTAGCCATGCACCCATCATTTTCTTTCCCACCTCCTCCTTGATGCTTAGGCTCTCCCACCTTCACGAAGCTAAGTCATCGGTGACTTCCTCCCATTGCCCGGGCAATCAGAGCTAAATACATACTCAAGTCCTTACCGAGGACTTCTAACATCATCATATTCTCCAAGTGCATGACTAGCCTTTCACACATACAAGCAAGAATTCACAGCACTTCAAATCATAACAAATCATATCATATCATTGTCAAACTCATCATCAACTTCATAATCGTCATAGTTATCACAATCATCACAATCATCATCATCATCATCCACTTCATCACCATTATCATCATCATCGTCATCATCACAATCATCATCATAAAGACTCTTCATGTCTCATTCATTCATAATTCCCATCAAAGTTCATCTCAATCATCAAAGCTCATCTTGCCTCATTTTATTCATATTTACACTATCAACATTCGTATCACATTCACATCACAATTAATAATTTCTTCACCTATTTGTTTATACTCAAATTCTCATTATATCATCCACATTATCATCACATCTTAGTTCATTCATTATCACACTTCCATCATTCATATTATCCATTCGTCCACAAACATGTTCATCAAAATTTTCATTCAAACTTCACACATTCATATCTGATACACACACAATCCATTCACATCACATACTCAATCATATAACTACATCACATACTCAATCACATAACTATACTTCATCACATTAACTATCTCACATTTGGGCCACTTCATGAACCAAATACCATGCTCACATTAATCAAATTACTAAGTTAGAATTTACACAATCATCAATCATTAATGCTTCCTTTGCCTCCTGATGTTTTTCTGGCTTGCTCTTTACCGTCTCTTGTTGTTCCTTCTTGGTTTCTAACTTCTAATTCTTTCTTCCTATGGTTATATTTTTTAGAAGCTTGTTGGAGAAAGAGGCAAGAGAGGGGGACGTGGAAATGAGGAAGAAGGGTGGGGAGAGTGCAAAAGTTTTGCACCCCTTCTCCTCTCGATTTTTCTTCTTCCTTCCCCTTCCCCAATCAAAG